GTTACCTTTCTTTATTTAGCAAAATTTATTTAAATATTTATGTTGGGATTATGTAATTATTTAAAAAATAATATTGTATAGTAGCATATGCAGGATGTCCGGGAAGAAAATGTCGAAACTTCGCAAATAAACTCTTAAGACAATTTTAAGCATATTTTGTTGAATACACTACTAGGATATTTCGAATAGTTGTGCCGCAATAAGCACTAAAAAGGTGGTTTGATAAAATGTTTTCCAGGCAAACATTTGCATTGCAGAAGCATAGACAAACTCCAAAAACATGTAAATTGTTTATTATTTTACAAAATAAATGCATATATTTGTTCGGAAAGAAAAATTAACTGAGAAATAAAAAAGCAGTCGAAATGAGTAAAGTAAGTGCTTTTTTTTATTTCTTTGTTAATTTGACACCTGTATACTCGTATAGTACAAAAACAATATACAATATAATAACAAATATGTTTATTATTTAAAAAATCTATGATCACCCCCTCCCCAAAGATCAGCTGGATCCGTCCCCGGGGGAGAGAAACCTTCAGAAAGAACACCCGCAAAAACCGACGTGTAGTTCGGTCCGGGAGCTCATGTTCCAGCGGCGCGGGGGCGAGGGGGACACCGCGTATATCCGGAATATAACATGCTCTGTACTTCCTCATTTCCTAAGAAGTAGACGGGCCCGGAAACCATAAATACTCGCTCCTTAGGGAGAAGGGGCCGTTGAAGGGCGTGGCGCGACTCGTGCAGCGGTAGTACGGATTGTTCGTTTACGAGCGCACAACGCAACGCCGTCCCGCGCCTCTGATCTTTCAGGTCGCCTCTTCAAACAGAGCCATCTCTTGCAGGCGGGGTCTCTTTGCCGAGGACTGGCTGCGAAAGTCCAAGACGTTGAGTGGCTCTACGCGTCAGGCGTTTGTACGCCGGAAGTTGACTGCACCTTCAAGGACGTACTTCGCCGTAAGTTGCCATTCATTGACGGAATTAAAGAGTAGCAAATACTCGTACGCCGTAAATAGTGGCCTTAAGATGATGCACACGAACAGGACAAGAAAAAAGGCTACGTGAAAGGACAGGAAATGGTGGTCATCATCGAATACACTCAAAGTTCGATACCGCTTTGCTTCTCTAAATACGCGAACATTCTTTCACGGATGCGCTAGTTTTATATAATGAAATAATACCAGAACAGTTCAATTATGAAGTACTTATTACAAGCAAACTTTCATAACAAGCAGAAACGTGTGATAAAAGGAAAATACAAACTCTGTTTGAAGTAGTTAGCGTCAGAGTGATGTATTAAGAGTTTATTAAAGGGTCAAAATTAATGAAAACACAGATGATGTAAGCACAAATGTAGGGCGGTGTGGCAAAACATTAAAATATAACTCTGATTCAACTACGTATATTTTCCTCAATATTTCTGACAGTTTCCTCCTAGCGGTCGGTACCCTTGCGTAATTTCTGAAACCTATTAAATTACGTTACATAACCGCTTTGAAAATAGTTTTACAGCCTCGCAATCTACTCAATATTTGCGTCATTGTCCAACGCAATAGCCCATATGAACCCTAAAAAAATAAAGTACTTCGCTTCTTGCCAAGTGCGCGCTACTATTGTAAACACGTACATACATCATATCCGTGAAGTTCTGTCATGTCCACTTTTAGATGTCAAGATCAAAACCTAGAAAAACTAAAGCCGTGAAAAGAGCGTGTGATTAGCAATAAATTTGCTTACAAGAGGCATAAAACCAAATGCGAAAAGACGTGTGAGATTTCATTAGGCACGGGAGTTAATCTTAAACTCATCCCTACCATCGCCACCCACGTCTCAAATCAGGAAATTCATACGTACACACTTCAGAATGACAGATATAATTACGAGCAGCAAGTCTCATCGTTTACTTATCTAATTATCATCTCTTATCGTTCTTACTTATTAAATATTCAAAACTCGTTGCTTCATATTAAATTCCTCACAGAAGTGTCATTTCTCACTTTCGAAGTCGTATACGATTTCAGGACCCTTTTTGGTGCTAAATAGCATATTTTCAGGACGTCGAGTAGTGATCTTGGGTGAGATGTGTTCTGCCGTTGCTTTGATTCCCCATATGAGATTCATGATAACCACGTCCGCGATCACAATAATGCACCTACACCACACCGTTTAACCGCGACTTCACTGATTACGTCATACACGCATATGTTAAGGTTTCACAAGGAATGACTTCTGAAAACTTCTTTCGGACACGGGCAACGACGCATGGAAAGTGTGTTACATTGCAGTTTCATGGAACATTCAAATATTATAAATCCTGCTTATTATTGTTTGCAAAATGTTAATCTCGGAGCCTGATTTATCCGAAAATCTCAAGTGCTTAGTCTCAGGAAAGCTCTCAATATGGAGAAGTGCTTGCCCTCAGAAACACCGGATGTGTCCAAGAACAAGGGCGGCTTCTCCACAACATCGCTTTCAGCTCGTTTAAATATAGTAGCGCCGTTAATTTTAGTTTGTTTCGAACCGAACTGCCCTCATACAAACCGTTCTTACCGAAGACTCGGTGTTACTTAGTGAGAAAAACTACTTTTACCATTGTTCAAGCGCCGACATTCATCGAGGGCGCTGTGTGTTCGAAGTCGCGAAGAACTTCCGGCGAGTATACCTCTCATTGGCAATGAGCCTTTGAATGTGCGTCCATGCGTTATACTGGCAATTCAGGGTAGCAAGATAATGAGATAATATGAGTAAATCTACTTTTGTTTCAAAGGAGGAAAAGCAAAATTATTATTTTTAATGTTACACAAAATCATTAATTCGATAACAGTGGAAAATTTATCAGCATTGACTTTGAAGTAAAAGATTCTTAAACATGCAAAAAATATTTCCTGACATCTTTACTCTATTGTCGAACGAGAAAAAAATAACGTTTCAACGTAAAAGAAAATTAAGCCTGTTTCCTAGAAAGTTACTGCGTGAAATTGTGAGTCATTTTTGTTATGACACTTTCTTATACAGTCTGCAAGCGAATTTGATTATCGGATTAAACTCTGTTTACGGAGAAAGAGACACCTTTTGCAGCTCAATGTGGATTCGTTGCTAACTGAACGGCAAAATTCCGCGATTTGTTCCATACAAATACAAATTTCACAGAAAACTAATTCATGATAACTATACGAGATACGAAACTGACTCGAAATTACAGTGATTATTTCACTCAAGAACGAGTATTTATCTATGAGTTTTAAGAATTTCAGCCGTGTAGGCGAATGCGTTTTACCCATATACATTTACTATTTTTGTTTAATCGCTTTCGTTTTATCACCACAGCGTTCACTTATTTTTAGCTTTGCTTGAGAAATGGCAAGGCTTGAAAGTTGGTATTGATACTAAAATAATTAATTAAATATAAAGGTTGATTTAAGATGGTGGCAAACTATATATTTATTTTTCTTCTTGAAATAACCATTTGAATTACAACTCCACCCGTGGAAATTACAGATACATTTCACAGCACCAGTGATATTGATCATCGTGAATATTCGAATTTAATGGACATATATTTCATTCTCAAAATTTATTTTCATGTCTCTCTTTAATTTAAAAATAAATGTCTAGTCATACATTCCTGTTTACAAATTAATTATAATTATAGATGACACACAAATTCTGGGTGCCAAGATACCTTGCACTGCCAGTACTGGACACGTGTGAGAAACGGCTACTGATTTTGCAGATTACGACAAAGGAAGTGACGTAAGACGCCCATTGCTATATTTATTTCACATGATTGTTTTGCAGATGCAATAGTCAATAATACGTGTTTTGTGAACTCGATTAACTGTTATATCATGTTATTGATATTGATGCACTTTTACCAGTAAGTGTTTATTTGACCAAACAAATGATCGCCATTTTTCGGAAGAAACATGATCCACGACTTCCATATGAGTCTTGGCGGCCATCAGTATTTCAATCAGTAGTGCCAACAGAAGGAAACACTAAGATTTTTTTGTGATTTTCGTAAGCGTATTTCATGTATATAAAACAAGAAGTAGAATCCGTTCTTTTTTCTTTTTTCCTTTCCATTTGTTCCTGTTAGTCACGAGGGTCTTCGAAGCCCAAATTTAGATCAGCACAGGATAAGAATTTCTAACAAACACATTTGTTTGGAGACCAGCGAGATTTTGGCATCGAACTGGAGCGTGGGGGAGGGCCTAGCCCTCGTGCGCGGGGCGGCGGCTGGCCAATGAAGTTTTTCCAGCCGGAGCCCTGTCCCGCCCTCCCTGTCTTTCGCACCCTCGCCCCACCCTCTCTGGGTGTCCGCCCGGCTTCCGCCCCGCCTGCTCTCTGCCGCTCACTCGGAAGGCGCTTCGAACGCCGCCCAGCGCACCGTCCGCCCGCTCCCGCCGCGCCCCGCCGCTGCATAGTGCCGTGTCGTCGAACTTCTCGCCCCTTGGCACCGGCGGAACGGAGCCGCCGCTTCTATACGCATTGCAAATTGCAACGTGTTTGTAAGGTGTCTGCAATATAGTCCCGCCGTTCTCTGGCAGACGAACAGGCTAATTTTAGGAGCGAGTCCGAAGAAGTCTCGAGTGGTCCCGCTTCCCCGGCGAAGCGAGCCCACGGTGCGGCCTTCAGCCCTCGGTCTCTGTCTCGCTCTCGCTCTGCGCTCTCGCCCTCGGGCTCGGCGACGGAGAATATCGGAGTCTGGCGCTCGGCGCGCCCCGGGCCGCCCCCGCCGCGCCACGGGCCCCGCCGCCCGCTGACGCGCCCTGTCGATTCGCCCAAGGCGGAAGGGCAAGCGGATGCGGCGTTGGGCGGGGGCATGTCACACGCCACAAAAGCGCATGACTGACGTTATTTCGCTCCCACTGGAATAACCCCGGGCGGCGGCCGCCAAGACGGGCGCGCTGAGGCTGCGGGCAGGCGGCGGGGCCGGCGATCGGCGTGGCGGCGGCGGCGCGGCGTTTTGGCAGGCGGTGGTCGCGCCGCGGAGCCTACACCTCGTGCAGGAGTTCGATGACTGGGCGCTGGCTCGCCGCTGGCTGGTGCGGGTGTGGACGCGGCCGGTGCGGTGTGGGTGGTTTGCGGTGGTGCTGCCGGTTGGGGGGTGGCTGGTGCTGGTGTCGCGGGCGACTGCGGGCTGCCTGCTGGCCTGTGTCTGTGCCGGAGCGCTCCGCTGGGCGCCCGCGCTGCCGAGCCCCCCCCCCCCCCCCCCCCCCTGAGCTGGAGGACGCGCCGACTAAAAGCTGTTATTTCGCACCCCGCAGCTCGGCCGCCTCCGCCCCCTCCGACCGCTCGCCCCGCGCGCCACGCCCCTGCACCCGCGCCGGCCCCCTCCCCCGGCCGCTGCGGCCTACGCCATCCCACCACTCCTGCCTGCGTGAGTGCGTGCGGGCTGCGCGCGGCCCCCTCCGCCTGCGCCCCCGCCCCCGCCTCCGTCGTTACGTTACGTTGGGGCTCACGGCTGCCGGCCAGACCTCAGGACTTGAGAGAATTCACCCACATGCCCGTGACATACACCAGACTTCAAAAGTTTACTTTCGCTGGCGCTCATTCATACATGTCCATTAATACCTATTTCTTCCGTGGATTTTGTTTCTTTCGCAATCTCCAAAGTAACTCACTCACTTCTCGAGCTCCCAGACTCGAAGCGAATATGCTCGCATTTTGAGTGCGTGTGCGATCAAATTCCCGGTGTCGGTTCAGCGTTGTGACATCAATGTATAGCTATTTTAGTTTTATTACAACAAAATGTTTTCTTCCTATGAACCACAATGAAAAGAGAAATACCATTTATTACACAAAAATAATGATGGGAGGACAACCTGCATCTCTTAAACATGAGAACTGTGCTTAAATTAAAGTTTGTTATTTTTTTTACTCCTTTTGCTTTGTTCGTCCTTTTGTCTCCTCTTCCTCGCTATCACCACCCTTTGCATACTTCCTGCTTCTTTTTCTCTTTCTATTTTCTCGTTTTTCTTTGCCTCTCCTGACCGCAAGTATTGACCTATGGCACTATTCGTACAAGAAGCCATCCGAATAACCTTCCTCCCTTCCGTTACAATTCCTTCCTTCCTCCCTTCCCTTACTTTCCCTTGTTTCACTTCCAAACAGTAACGCCAAATCTTGGCTTTTATGAAACTTTCTAGTGTACTTCTAATGGTCGATTTTGGGAAAATAGTGTCAAAAACTATTTCGAGATAATTTGTTGGAAATCGGGGCGAGGCCGGCCAACCGTTGGTGTCGTCTTCTAGAGGTCAGATCGTGGCGATCGCCCCAGCTCCGTGGAGGTGGAGATGACGTCATCCATCGGTCCGCACCTGACTGTCCTCTTGGACCGCAGCCATCTTGTCTCCTTCCGGGGTGTCTTTCGTTTCCACGAACCGACTTTTAAGTCGCTTTAAGCAAACTGCAACCATGCTCTCTCCGCAGGATGTTATTTGGATTAAAAATAATTTCACAACGTATTTATCAAGGTCACTTTAATTACTGCTCTAGAGTACGTCATCAAAATGCGATTTGAAATATGTTATTTCCGTTGCATGAATGCTCAAAAATATTTATTTATTCCAAAATGATTCAAATGGAAAAGACTGCTATGCATCTTTACTAAGGGCGGCGTATCAAGGGAAGTATCGTTTGTTCAGGAGGAACCGTGTTGGAAGATCGAATTTGGATAGTATAATAACCAATACAGATCTATAACACTTTTAGTATATTTTATTTATGTAATTTTTGAATCATTCTAAATTAATAATAAGTGTTTTAAAATAAATAATTTTAACAACTATTTGTTTTACTTAATTAAATTCTGCACCTCGCCAACAATTCCAACATTTTATTAATGTCAATATAATATTAACGTGTAAAAGAAGCTGTACTAGACAGTATATATCTCATCTCATTGATTCCACTAGAATACCATATTTATTAATCTTGTTAATTTGAAGGTCTATTTTTAATTTATTTACTTCCAGAGCAAGCTTCTACGATTTCTCATTTAGAAAAATTGTTCTATGTCATATTTGGTCGGATTTTAATGTGAATTAACAAGCAACTCCAGCCCTGTCAACCGTTTCTCAAGCATTCAAGCAAATCCCAGCTATGAAAACATCCTTGTAACTGGCAATGTAGTAACAGCCCTAATAAGATTATAAACTCCAAGGTAAATATCATTCTTGAAAAGTTATTTAGTCACGAACGCACAGATAGGACACTTCTCAGCTGTTCAAAAATATTGTTAATTTCATTTCTCTCGCAAAATATCAATTTCGCCTTTCAGTTATACATATTGCATGTGATTTTTTTCTTCCATTTCATACCTAAAACGACATATAATGTAGGTTTGTATTTATAAATGGCAACGAGATGTATTCACTTTTTCTTTATTACGACTCGGCAACGAGTTTTTCTGTCCAAAATTCGCCGTTTCTCGGCACACAATCACAATAGTTTCAAAGGGCGAGAAGATACAACTAATTACTAGATATCGCTTCTGAAAGTAAAGTTGTGAAAATGCTAACACTTTCACAATAAGAGAGCATACGTTCCAGAAAAAATTACAATCTTTCGATATTGCAAATGATACTAAGCTAGTGAAATTTTCGAAATATTATAACTTAATGTCACTATCATCACAAACAATAGCAGAAATAACAATAAAAATCATGGAATGAATTAGTGTAAAATGGGCCCAAACAACAGTTCTTGAGCGTGATCACCGCATTTTGGAATCATAGTCCGTTTTGGTTTCGTACGAATTCAATTACTTACAATTCTCTCAATAATACAAAAACTCAAGTGTTCACTGGAAATCAAAGCCAGAATCAGTGAGTATACCTGACTTGGACTCTACACATAAAATGATGTAATGTTTGAATAAGACTTTTATTAAATTTAGTTTTAATGAATTTACATGAGTGACTTAAGTTTTATTGTACATACGACTTCTGAATTTTGGGAACTACATTTACATCGCTCGATGGAAATGCGACCCCCATTTTAGGGGGCACCAACCGGCTCTACTTAGCAGTATCAGTTAATTACACAGTTCCACCACAAAAAACCAATATTCTCTTTCCAGCAGCCACTTTCAAAATGAAAATGCCGCTTACCAGTATCTGAACTGGTAAGCGTCCAATAAAACCGAGTATATCGATGGATAAGGAGTTAATGTGATCCAAAAAATGACCTGAGGGACGCTCACCATTGCATTGCCCCAAGGCATAGAATTCTTAGACATCTCCTCTTTAATATTAAACCGTATCTTCATTATTTTTATTTTTTCAGCGTAGGAATATATTAAGATACTCTTGCAGAAATCTTAAACGTCTTCAGGGAAATTATAAAATATACGAAAAAATTTGTATTTTATTTTTATAAACGAATATATGCAATATATCAAATCAGAATATTATACTATAACGTTATACAATATATTAGCCATAATAATATATTAATGTAAACAAGTCCTGCCAAACATTAAGATACAAAAGAACTCACACGTGGGCTGAAAGATCATAAAACTAGAAAATCATAAAATAATCTTTCGATTCGACTCCATAAGCATATTTATGGCATAAACGTAATTCGTAAATAAACTTAATTATGAACAAACGCATTTCAATAAAGTATAAAAATAAGTTTTTAAATGCATTTATAAAACTGCTTTAATATAAGACGTAAGTGGCTAATGAGTCTAACTGAGGATTAAGAATTTCGGAGTGAGATAACACATCACACTTACACTCACCAGAAAACACTTTGAACTGCAGCCAGCTTTACGATCATGCCGACGGATTTGCCAGGGTGAGAATAAACCTCTGCTATACAGGCCAATGTTCTCTGATCAAAGTTTTTTTTTTTTTTCTTCTTCTTCTCTAAGCGTAACTCGGCTTTTGACTGCATCAATCTGCTGCTCACGTATTTATCTGTAGTTTTAAGCTAAACACGTTAAAAATGAAGCTTGCATCCAAGTAGGAATTTAGATCGCCATCCGTCTGTATTATTTTTCCATTGTCGATTTGATTAACTTTGCCAAAGGATAGTAAAAAGTTTATGAGACGTATGGGGAGAAGGGTAATCTGCACATATTTTGTAAGGCTCCAGACTCTCTTCTCCGCCCTTTAGCCATAAATAGGTATTTCCATGATGCACTTGCTCTATGGTTAGAGCCTCCAAGCATTTGCAATAATTTCTAGATTAAGTTTTCTATATTTGAGAATACCACTTCAGACGAATGTTCATCGTTAAATTACAGCATTTTAAAGCGATTTTGCATGATTTACAAATTCCGCTTGTACGAAAGAAAGATCTACATCGTATATGTCATTCAATGTCTTACTCAATTACGAGAACAACGTTTAGTAGGGTCAAAAACTTAGGACATACGTACATTATCATTAAATTCAAAACAATGTTCTTGATCCTATGTGCAGAGAACATTATGGATCAACTGACAGATTGCAGTATTTTTTAACAAATATGGCAATGAAATTGCCCACGTTTCTCCATATTTGTTTCGCAATTTGTGGTTGACTGATACACACAACAATCTTTTGAAAATCTTTTGATTGCAGATACTTCAACTTCGTAAATATTAATATTTTAAAATTTGGTATGGTCGTTTCATGGTATGGTCGTACAGAGCTATATTACCTACAATTATCACAGTTTTGTCAATAACATATTTTAAGCGTATTCGTTAATTTTTTAGGTAAATAGTTGATCTTGATAATTTTTAACACTCTTCACTGAGCGATGATTGTAGTTACTACCATCCATTTTTAAGGAAATGATTTCATGATTCCTTACATACTTCACCTCCTTCTCAAACCTCAATTAAAATCTTTCATCCAAATCAATCATTGAATGGGGAAGCGATGCCCCAGTCCTCGTTGCACCTGTATGTCCGAATTTAGCCCGGTGGCTTCTATTTGCGAACGCTTCCCTTAGGAATGGGGGCCGCATTCGAAGACAATGGGGTCGCAGCGTAGGGGAACGCCCTCGTGACACAGGCACGGCGGCACCGGGCCTCTGTTGGCATGCCCTGGCGCTTTCTGTTGTTTAGTAGGACTATTTCGCTTGTTTTCTTGGCGAAAAGTGGAGCTGGTACACCAGACACGCTAATTTTTACTCAGCTCGTTGAAGGAGAGTACGGAGACATAGTCATTCGTAACTAGGAGACTAGATTATCCATGGATTCTAAAGTGTATTAGGTTTGAAGTGTTCTGGCTCCTTATAAATCGTTCCGTCTTAAGTTATGA